ATCTGGCTGTGTTGCCCAGGCTGACATTCAACATCTGGGCTTAAGTGATCCTCCTGCCTCAGCCTCCTAAGTACCTGAGACTACAGGCATCTGCTGCCTAACTAGTATCAACTCTTTGCACAGGAGTGCAGATTAGAAGTCCACAATGCACTCTAATAAATTTTGATACAAACTATTATATTTCCCATCTATTCTTTTAAAAAACCCATTTGTCTTTCCTAAATACATGCTGTCCTAAGTGGCCTACTCTTTCTCCTTCACCTTCCCCTATTAAGAAGGTTTATATAAGTCCACTAGCCTCAGCAACTTAGAGACCCTGCCTCAAAATTTAAAAATAAATAAATAAAAAGCACTGCTTATGTAGCACAGTGGTAAAGCATCCCTAGATTCAATCTCCAATACGGGGGGGGGAAAACTATATGAACTGAAATTTCACCACTTTTTTGAGTTATTCACTCTTTTTCTGCAATGCTGCTAAATATATAATATTAAAAGTTAATAAATCTGTAGGCACTTTCTCCTGTTAATCTGCCAGATTTTTCATGTACCAAGCTATAAAATGTAGAAAAGTTTTTCTTCCCCTACACAATATAGCTGTTTCAAAGAATTTTTTAAAGATATAAATCAGAAAAAAGCTCAAGCAGATGAATATCTTTTAATAAAGAACTTACCACCTGACATAGAAAGCGTCTCCCACATGACCGCTTCTTTTTTATACAAAGTAAAAACAATAGTGTCATTCCCAATCTTTGCTTTGCTGCTTGCATCGTCTATGGGAGCATAGAGAAATGCCTCAAATAAAAATGGAGGAAAGTTCACCTGTTCAGAAGAGACAAAACAGAAATTTGGCTGGTCACACAAATGAACGATACCAGCATTAAAAGAAATCCGTGTTAAAAAGCCAAACTAATTTTCCTAAAGGTTCACTAAATCTATTCTGGGTAGCAAAATTTAGTAAGACGTGAAGAAGCCCTGAGCGGATGTCCTTTATCTACAGATGAGATGTCACCTGTTTGTTTAAAAGAAAAAAAGAAAAGAAAAATTGAGAACGGTCCACTGCAAGGAGGCTCGCTTTGCGCGCACCCAGCCGCGCAGTCGCCGAAGGTTCGGGCCACACCCCCGGGCTGACCGCACGACTGGCGTCCCAACCTTGAGATAGTTTTCGGTGCAGAACACGTCCGCGTCTCTGACACAGACGCCTCGGAGGGGCAAGGAGAGGAAGACCGCAGTCTTGGTCTGCTGCCAGCTGTAATTGCTAACCAGCAGCGGCATCCCGGGAGTGACAGGAGCGGGAGGCTCGGCGGGTTGCTGCCGGCGACTCCTCGGTTTCTAGGGAAGCTTGGGTTACCACGCGTCACCCCTTCCGGGTCAGGCCGGCGGGAGCCCCTGGCTCCCAGCGTGCCCCGGGCGCCCTCTGTCCTCTGGTGACTGTCAGGCCCCGCATCGCATCGGACTGCGATGTCTGTCGGCTTCCGGGGGGGGGGGGTTGCCTTCCTCCACTCCTGCTGCTTGAATTTCCAAAAACTAGACCCACGTCTACTTAAGAACAGTCTTCATGCCTTAGAATGCAAAGAAAGGATGTGGGCTTAATGGCTCAGGAAAGCGGTCGAGGAGCAGGTGTGACACCTGCGTGTTACTGGAACCTTGAACCTTTGTTCTGACCGAGGCTATTTGGAGTTAGCACCGTTTGATGTTCCTATTGAGGAAAAGGGTCATACCGGGAACTTGGTGCCCTTTCGTAGTTCTCCAAATCCTACAGCTCTAAGGCCACCAAAGTGCCTAGGTAGGGTTCGCCAAGATTTAAAAACCGGGGAGAAAGGGCCTTATGGCTCAGCTGATATGTACTTTGCTGCAACTCAATAGTAGGATAAGTTGGATTTACAGTGGTACATTTTACAATTACTTCAGTAGGTTCTGAATTTTAGGGCTGCAAAGAAACTTGAAGRCTGTGTAGTTTTATCCTGCGTATTTAAGGAATCTAAAATCCATGCACTTAAACCCATTGTCACATAGATTTGTGATAGAACAGCTATTAGATCTCTTAACTCCCATCCCAATATTCTTTCCCTGGGCTATTTCTGTAATTCCATTTAATAAATTACTAGAATGATGCTAGCATAGTTAATTCATATGATAATTTAGTACTGCAATTTACTTGTCACCAGGAATTTGGATTTTAAACTTTTTACTTTTGGAGACAATTTACACAAATTTCAAAGCACTGGAGAAATTCCTTGAGAAAACTTTAGGAGCCATAGACTTAAGGGAAAATATCTTTTCTCCCAAACAGGGCACTGACTACCTTAACTAATTTTGTCAGCAATTCGTTATCTTAAGCTTCTGATAACTTGGAATAGTGGGAGTCATCTAGAATTTTCTCCCTTGGTCTCTGCAAACTGAAAAATGTATGACTTCTATGAATGTTTTCTTTTTTTTCACCCCATTTTGTTTTTGGCATCCCCCCCCCACTTTTATACTACCCCTACTTTTTCCATATGGTCTTCAAAAGACAGAGTTTATGAGTCTCTTTCATATAAAAATTTAAAGTATAGGTTCTCTTATTATATAAAAATACAAGACTGTCTTTCCCTCTGGAGATAACCTGCATTCTCTCTTGAATGTATATTCCTTGCTTTACCCTCAAAAGTTTCTCTCTTGAGATGGCCCACATTCTCTCTTGAATGTACTTCTCTTTTCCTAAATAAACCTCTATGGCTCTGACTGGTGAGTGCTGAAACTCTTTTTGATCACGTATGCCAAGAACTCTGTTGGTCATAAGTCAAATTGCCCTTTCTCTCCAGGAATTCCTCAGACCCTTCTTAAGAGACCTCTCTTTTCTGGTGACATCACCAGGTACAGTGGCATACACTGGTAATTTCAGCTACTCTGGAGGCTGAGGAGGAGGATTGAAATTCCAGGCCAGACTCAGCAATTTAGTGAGACTTTCAGCAATGTAGCAAGATCCTGCTTCAAAATAAAAAGTTTCTAACAAATTATGTTATGTCTATGTATGAATAAACCACAATGAATCTCACATGTCTATGTGTGTATAATATTATAATACACTAATTAAAATAATAACAATAACAGTAGATAGGGAAGGGAAGGGAAAAGGGAAGGTACTGGGAAATTGATCAAATTTTGTTATTTGCATTATAAATATGGCACAATGAATGCATAATTTTATTTATATATTTGTTTGTTTACTTACTTATTTTTTGTGGTGCTGGGGATTGAACCCAGGGCCTTGTGCATGCGAAGCAAGCACTCTACCAACTGAGCTATATCCYCAGCCTACACATAATTTTAATGTGCCAATTACAAAAAGGACTGGGGAATGTAGTTAAGTGGTAAAACACCCCTGGGTTCATCCTGGTACACGCCTGTAATCCAGCTACTAGGGAGACAGAGGCATCTCCCCATCTCCATCTCCCCAGTACTAAAGAAAAAGAAAAACTGAATAAAAGAAAAAAGCACTAACCATAAAGTAAAATATTGAAAACTTGAGCTAAATTTAATAACTGATGTTCGGGAAAAGGCATGATAATGTAAAGATATCTGAAATAGTATATATATATTATTCATTGCCTTACAGCCAAGGGCCATAAGTACACCTATGGCTGAACAACCTGAGTTCAACTTATTGAGCAAGAGAGAACAAAAGCCATGGGATATCTCAGTAAGAGGCTTTTAGAATTTAGGGACAGTTTTTTTTTTTTTTTTTTAAACTTTTTTTTTTTTTTAAAGAGAGAGTGAGAGAGGAGAGAGAGAGAGAGAGAGAGAATTTTTAGTATTTATTTTTTAGTTCTCGGCGGACACAACATCTTTGTTGGTATGTGGTGCTGAGGATCGAACCCGGGCCGCACGCATGCCAGGCGAGCGCGCTACCGCTGAGCCACATCTCCAGCCCTTAGGGACAGTTTTAAGAGAGGAAAGATTCCCTCTAAATTGCATGATTTCAAAAAGTGAAGGTAATTCTACTGATAAATTTCAGGAAGGAAATATAACTCCTTGGCTTAATGGGTATATATATATATTTTTAAATTTTTAGTTGTGCATGGACATGATAGCTTTATTTTATTATTTATTTTTATGTGGTGCTGAGGATCAAACCCAGGGCCTTGCACATGCTAGGCAAGCACTCCACTGCGAGCCACAACCCCAGCCCAACTTAATAGATATTTTAAGTTGAAGGAATTTGAGAAGGAGTGACAACCCCCCCAGCCCTTCTCTTCTGAAGCAGATCACAGGACCCTCATATGAGAAGTGCCTTCCTTTACCCAAAGGAAAGAGGCATCTTTCTCTGAAAAAGGAAAGGAACCTGAAAAAACAGACCTTTCTAAGTTCTTCCCAGTTTATAACACTTAGCTAATATACTTTGTCCTACCACATTTTCCTGCAAATYTCCACTCCATCAGACCTGGCATTAAATGGTTAAGTTTCATTTGTTCCATTCTTAATTTCCTTATGAAGGATTCCAAATCATGTAAAATATATATTAAATAAATTTGTATGCTTTTCCTTTGTTAATCTGTCTTCTGTTACAGGAACCACAGCCAAGAACTTAGAGGGTRGAAGGAAAAGACATTTTTTTCCTCTCTTACCTGATGATTTGGTAAAGTAGTAGCTGTTGCTCACTTAGACAAAATTATCATCATTTTGTTGGTCTCAGAGTACTCTTGTCTCAGGTTGGTATTCTGTGTGATTGTTTATGTTCAGCAGAAGAATAACTTGGCCAAGCTGTAGTGTCGGATCTGCTTCTGAATGTCTGAGGCTTCTCTATTCTCTTATTCAGTAATCAACAACGAAAACATATAAGCAAAATATATAAAAAAGGAAATACAACCCTACATAAAAATGGGCAAATTTGCATGATTGCTTATTCTATAACTAGCAATTCTACTCCTAATTATATACCTGAGAGATTTCTAACAAGTTCTTAGGTGATGATGCTATTTCATGAACCATTGCTCTAGAACAGGGTTTCTCAACCCCCATGCTATTGACATTTTAGGCTGGATAATTCTGAACAATTTGTGCTGTTCTGTGCATTAGAGGATGTCTAGTAGCATCTACCCACACAATGTTAGTAGTACTTTTCGAGTATGGTCATGAAAGTGTCTACAGACATTGTCAAATGTCTCCAGGAATGGGGGTGGGAATAGTAAAATTGATGCCATCTGAGAATCACTGTCATAGAAAAAGTCTTGGTCATGTACATTAGAACATATTTATAGGTCTTTATAGAGGCTTTATAGAAAAGACCTGAGAAATGACAACTGCAATATATACACACAACAGAATATCATTAAACAACAAAAGCAAGAAAGTTACCATTATATATTGGATGGATAAGTGAAAAAAGCAAACCAAATAAGATTCTTAGAAAATAATGCCATTTTAATAAAACTAAAAGAAACTAAAACAATTGGATAAGAAGTCCTATGCATGTGAAGAAAAGGTAGTGATCAACTCAGGTAAAGGTATACAAGAGGCCTATTTTTTTCCCCATTTTAAAAATTTGTTCTACTTAGTTATATATGACAGCAGAATGCATTTCAACTCATTGTACACAAATAGAGCACAACACTTCAATTCTCTGGTTGTACATGATGTAGAGTTGCACCATTTGTGCAATCATATATGTACCTAAGGTAATGATGTCTGTCTCATTACATCATATTTCCTACCTCATGCCCCAACTCCACCCTCCCCTTTGCCCAWTCCAAAGTTCCTCCATTCTTCCCCCACACACCCACCCTGCCCCATCATGGATTAGCATCCACTAATCAGAGAAAACATTTAGCCTTTGGTTTTTGGAATTGGCTTACTTCACTTAGCATGACATTCTCCAACTCCATCCATTTACCTGCAAATGAATAGGTCCATTTGTGGTAGCCAACAGAGCTGATCACTACACAGTCACACAGTGTGAATTAAGACAAAGGTTCTACGAGATATCCTGTTGCATGCCTATAATCCCAGCTATTAGGGAGGCAGAGGCAGGAGGATTACAAATTCAAGGCCAGGCTGGGTAACTTTACAAGACCTCGTTTCAAAATAAAATTTTAAAAAGAGCCAAAGATAAAGTTCAGTGGTTGAGTGCTTGCCTAGAATGTGCAAGGCCCTGGGTTTAATCCCCCGTAACACACATGCACACATACACACACACACAAGACAGGTTACCAGAGTGTTGTCCTCCCTACCAACAACAAAACATTAATATCACCATCATCTGGAGTCTCATTAGCAATGCAGATTCTCAGGCCCCTCTCAGACCAGGAATTCTAGAAGTAAGGAGAAATCATTGCTTTAG